TATTTGATTTCCAACGAATGAATAAACATGCTTTTCATATAATGTACACAGATGCATAATAACTAAATATGCATAGAAAACAGAAAAAAATGATTTCATAGAAATAAATCACATTTATCCATTTCAGTTGGTAAAAAAAGTATTCGTACAATACAAAGAATAATAAATAATCTTCATTTAATACTTTGCAGAATCGCCATTATTCACTTCTACACCAACCAATCTCCTCTTGTAGCTCTCAATAATTCGCAAATTTTATTTGGTATTTTGTCCCATTCTTCTTCGCATATGGTCTTCAGATCTGGGATATTTGTTGGAGCTCTGGATTGGATTTAAATTTTCAAATAACCCCACAGATTCTCGTTTGAGTTTAAATCTGGGGACTGACTTGGCCATTTCAGGATATTTATATTATATTCTGCAAGCCATTTCTCCGAGGATTTTGCAGTGTGCTTAGAATCATTATTTTGTTGGAATATCCAATCAGGAGGAAGTTCAAGATTCTCAAGAGAAATCATTAAATTTTTCTTCCAAAATATTTTAATATGCTGTGGCATTCATTCAACCATCTATTACTGATATGTTGCCTGTATATATTGCTGAAAAAAAAAACATCCCCAAACCATGATACAGCCACCACCAAATTTTACTGTTGGGACTGTGTTCTTTTGCTTGAAGGCATCGCCATATTTCCTCTATACATGACTTCTAGAATTGCGTCCAAAAAACTCAATTTGGGTTTCGTCTGTCCGTAATACGAGTTCCCAATGGAATTTTTCCTCGTCCTCATGTTCACAAACAAATTTCAACCTGGTATCTCCGTGTCTTTTCAATAGCAGTGGAGTTTTCCCATGGAAGCGTAACTTTAGATTGTTCCTATGAATTCCATCGCTTATTATCCGTTTAGTGACACAGATTCCAGATTCTTGCAACTCTTGATGAGCAACCATTGGATTTTATTTAATCTGACGCATTAATTTCCTTGAAGATCTTGCAGAAATCTTCCGGGGAGCACCAGTTTTTCTTTGGTTTTCAACAGTTTTGAGTTCTGATACCTTGCAATGAATGAACTAATGGTAGTAAAATTTTGAATTAACTAATGGTAGTAAAATTTTGTTAATTCTTTACTTCTTGCCATGATAAAAACCTTCTTGCACGAATATCAATTACAAAATGTTCTGTTTGTATTTTTGTCTAAAAATAACTACTGATAACATTATTGGAACATTCTAGAATATTCCACTTGAATAATCTAGAGTCTTAAAGCAAGTTAAAAGTTTTAAAATCTGACATTTGCGTTGTACGAATACCTTTTTCCCTCATTAAAATGGATAAATAGGATTTATTTCTATTAAAAAATTTTTTTTCTGTTTTCTATGCATATTTAGTTATTACGCATCTGTGTACAGTTAATTATATGAAATGTATGTTTCTTCATTAGTTGGAAATGTAATAAATTAAAAATTGTATGTGTATGAATATTTGTTTCAAACACACACACTGTATATATGTTCCTTGTATATAGGTAGCAAATGTTCGTTAAGCAAAATAATATTATAAACGACGATAAACATTTTTCTCAATTAAATTTAACAAGTACTAACCTTTTCAGACAAGGAGGAAATTCCCTCAGAAATTGTCCGACGTAGAAGCAATTGATGATTTTCGTAATGATGATTTAGCGCCGGCCGCTTTCCACAGCATGCAGCCATTAACGACATCATCAAAAGAGGTTTGGATGCAGCTGGGTTCCATTCCCAAATCGAACCCGTAGGCCTCGACCATGGTAATGGAAACCGGCCGGATGGCATTACTGTTTTCCCTTTTAAAATGGGGAAGTCGTTGATTTGGGATGTGACCTGTACAGATACATTTTCGACCGGTAATTTGATCACTTCCGCGGTTGAGCCAGGATCCGTCGCCCGGGACGCAGAGATGAAAAAAAAATAGTTAAATATTCTTTTCTTGCTGATAGATTTTTTTTTTTTTTTTTACTCCTGTGGCAGTGGAGACTTCAGGGGTTACTGGCCCTCGTTTGATGGCGTTCCTTCGGAGGATTGGCGCGATTGCATTTCAATTAAGGGACGAGCCTCGCGAAACGGAGTGGCTCTTGCAGCGTGTCTCACTGGCAATGGTTCGAGGTAATGCTTTCTCCATCATTGCGGCTGTCAGAGGATAGAAAAAAATTGTTTATAGTTACGTTGTTCTGGAATTGTCATCAGTGGTCAACTGAACTTGTTTTGTTACAATAAATTTTGACTGTTCTTTTCATAAATCTAATGAGTTTTGTGACGTAAGCAAGATTTGACGTGCATGTTTTTTTTATCCAATATACATTTAAGGATGCAGGTGCTTTTTTTAATTATTAATTGTTGTTTCTGTTGTATGAGTGTGGCTTCATCATGAGTCTGTTTTTACTATATGATTTTACTAGTATTTTGGTAATGTTTGTGAGTACCTGTCTAATGTTACTATGATCCTTATTCATGTATTGGCTGATGGCACGATGGTTCGTGGCGGAGGCGGGGGCGGAGGCAGGGCAAGTGAGTCTCCGTGAAAGTGTGGTTTTGGTGTATTGTATGTGTTGTGTTATTTTTATTTACAGAGAAACATTCTCCGAGTGGGCAAGTTTTTCTTCCGAAATGAACTTCTGTCAATTCTTGACGAAATTTAATTTCCTCCTTATCGGAGAAGGATTATTCGTAACTTGGAAAAGTCGATCATTAAAATCAATCCACACAAAATGTCTGTCGTTTTCAGTAGTATTTGCCTTCAAGAAATATATATATATATATATATTTTATATTTTGATTCTGTGCAATCAATTTACAAATACATGAATTATTCACACAAAAACTAATGCAAAGGTTAATGATAGTTTTTGTGTGAATAATTCATGTATTTGTAAATTGATTGCACGTTTATCGTAATTTAAATAACTGATCCAAGTGCGACATTTGGATAATAAGTGCGACATTACTGTAATTATTGAACAATATAGTTCATGCCACTTTGACAGAAAAATTTACCAGTAAAAAATTTGTTCATCACCATATTTTATATGAACGCACAACCTTTAAAAATTTAAAATCAAACTCAGCGTTGCTTCTGCGCGTTCCAAAAACTCATTTTCAATAGCATTTTCGGATACAACAATACATATATTTTCGTTGTCCTCTTATTACTAAGAGAAAAAACAAGAACAACATCTATTCTATACCTGAAGATGTCTGTAGGAACAGACGAAAATAAGGCTTAATACGGCAGAAATTTATATAAACAGGGGTCATTTCATTCATAACGGATTCGGAGGTTTTTGTATATTATTTGAATTGTTTGCGATGATATAATGTCTCGCCATTTAAATCATTAACCTTGCATTAGTTTTTGTGTGAATAATTCATGTATATTTATATATATATATATATATATATATATATATATATATATATATATATATAAAAGAAAATAGGCAATATATATTTTTTTCTTTTCCCATCTGTGTAGGTGTGGTTATCCACGGGTTTTAATGAAATTATTTTTTTACCATTTTTTCCCGTGATGCTTTAAAACGATCACGGGTTATATAAAGCCTGCTTCTCCCTTCTGTCATATCTGTTTAAGTCGTCTGAAAATCGCGTTACGTGAATCTTGAATCACAACTACAGCCGACCTTTTATAGGATTTAACGTTGGTAAACGTTTTTTTTTTTTTTGCGAAGTCTTGGCAATCTAGGCTTCGAGCACTTTTATGAATAGGTAAGTTTGCTTACAGGCCTTTTTCTTCTCTCTTTTTCAGTATATTCGTCTGAATTGAGACTGTATCTAGATAAGAGGTTTAGGCTTTTATAAGTTGTCCGTTGGTTTCGCCAACGGACTTTTGTTTTCTTTTAATAATAATGAAAATAATTATACATACACACACACACACACACACACACATATATATATATATATATATATATATATATATATATATATATATATATATATATATATATATATATAAAAAAAAACAAAAGAATATGAAAGTATAAAAATATATTTTTATAATAAAATGACTAACAATAACTATTTATAACAAAATGACCAGCAATACAATTTTATATGTAAAAAAATTACCAAGAATAACTATTTATATCCGTATTACCAAGAATAACTATTTATATCCGAATTACCAACAGTACCTATTTATCTGTAGTTAAAGCCATAAGATTGTGTTCAAAATATCTAGATTTCTGTATTAAATAAGCCATAGAGGTGTTGATATGCCGCAAAACAAAATTAACCAATCAACCACTGTTTGTATTTAAAATTTACAAAATTTCAGTAGATCTAAAAAAAAAATATTGAATTTATAATAAATTAAGTTAAGAAATATAGAATCGGGAATCTTTAAAATTTCACAGCCCACTTTTAAATGTGTGACTCTGTGCCTAAGAGATGGGACTACTTTTCAGGGTTATATATATATATATATATATATATATATATATATATATATATATATATATATATATAATAAAAACATGATAAAACCAAAAGACGTGTCTATTGAATATCGCTGACTAATGAAAATCAGACTACACAAAAGTGAAAAACATCAGAACTTCTACTAGACTTACATATACTCAATTAGGATTACACATTATCCGGCGCCTTCATAGATAAATTAGAATTTTTTTAAAAAAACTTACATAGAATCATATACGTTTATAATGCACGTGATATGTAACTGACCAATGGAAACCAAACCACACAAAATTGAAAATGCCGTAATTTGTTTTTTTTACCTGTTTTTGTTGTTGTTTTCTTTTTTCTTGTTTTTTTGCTCAGCCTCTGACGAAGCTTTAATAAGGTAACCACGTTAGATTGATAAACGTTTAATATTTGTTCTTTATCTTATCCTGTCAAATTCCGATCCATATTTGATCTTTAACTCACACCCACACAGATAATATATATATATATATATATATATATATAGATAAACAGACAGACAAAGAGATAGATAGATAGATAGATAGATAGATAGATGGACAGAAAAAGAGATAACAATAGATAGACATAAAGAGAAAGAGATAGATCGATAGATAGAAAGAGACAAGTTAGAATATAACATCTCCACGTTTACCTTGATAAATTTCCTCAGAGGACGAAACGCATTGGTAAAGAATATTTCCCCCTTTTTTGGCTTATTGTAAAAATATGGTATTAAAGGCGTATGCAAATATAAAAGTGAGGTCAACTATTGGCCTCAGTTTTATATTTGACCGTCAACACCGAGCGACGACACTCTGTTTCATGCTTAAACGTAATATTGCGGTCAAGTAGGAAGCAGACTGTCGCCGCTCGGTGTCTACGTCATGTTCACATATATATATATATATATATATATATATATATATATATATATATTGTCATCCACAGACAGACTGTTTCGCAGTATCACCGCTCTTCAGTGTGGTTGGACATCAGATTGCTTGAAGTCGGGATCGAAACCCGACTTAGTTGGCATCAGTTAAAGATCCTAGCCCTAGACTATCGTCACACAGCAGAAATTCAATATATTTCAGTGGTAGTTATTGTTGTAAATATGTTCTTAAAATAAATAGGCATTTTATGTCTATTAAAATAATTTATCATTTTTTCTACTATATGACTGACTTTTCGCGAATGTGGTTGTTCTAGATGCAAATTTGGATATACAACAGACATATTGTGGAAGACTATTCGCATATAAGAAAAAATAATAAATTTCGTAGACGTAAAATGTCTATTCTTTTTAAGAAGACACGCGCATATATATATATATATATATATATATATATATATATATATATATATATTGTGGATATTTAGGTAGCAATTTTTCATTGATGCATGTTTCATTAAATAATATAGACAAGTTGTGTCTATTTTTAGGCATTTACAACAACATGTCTGGCCGCTTACACAATTCCGGCAAAATCCAACTATACTTAAACATAAAAACAATAAACAAAAACTAAAAATTCTTGAAGCTATATAGATAAAACAATTGAAACCTAACCTGAACAAAATAAACTACGAAATCTCCACAAATATTCTTAAATGCCTATAATTGGTAACAGAAGCCATTGGTTTATACCAACGGCTTCTCATACTTAATACATCTCGTTTTCACTCTCGCGTGGTCATGAGTGACGTCACGAGCTGCGACACGATTTTCGCTTCCGCATCTCGTTTACACGAGTTTGTCGTTGCTTTGAAATTTTTCATGCAACAAAAACAGACTATCATTATTGTTTCGTCCGTGTATTGTTTGATATATTGAAATGTAATTGTCATCTTTGATAATGGCTTATGTAAGCCGGAAGCTTAGATCGGATTTAAACATGTATCAATATGGTGATTTCTTTTCGTCTTTCAATGATAATGTTATTAACCTTATCAGACAATATGAAAGGAACTTACTTAAAATAAATAGACACAACTTGTCTATATTATTTAATAAAACATGCATCAAATATATATATATATATATATATATATATATATATATATATATATATATTCATTAAAAACGGTCGACAAGTAAGATTTAATTAATCTTATTCCAGTATTCTAAAACTTTTCCATTTTTCAGGTGTAAAAAATATAGTTTTCCATTGTTATAATTATTCCGAGCGCTTTCAGCTAGTTCTCTAGCCATTATCAAGGATATTGTTTGGATGGTGAATTTCTATGCTGGATTCTACATAGAATTTTGCTGTGTGGCGTACATGCGGCAAGGGTTGTATGCTTTTTTGGCGGTCACGTGCTATGCGCGGACGTTTGACCTGGGCATCATTTCTATTTTTAAAACACCTTTAAACGCCGTCTCCATCATGCGTAAGTGAAAATTAAGTGAAGGCAGAATAATTATCGTTGAACTTTTAAAAGGTAAGCTTAATCATTAATTCAATATTTAAATGCAGCGGTTAATTTAGAGTTCTTCTGTTGTTTATTGTTTGTACGGTCGCATTGTGCCTCGCAAAAAGAAATCTCCGCCAACAGAGGACCAGATGGCAATCAAAAGATCCAAGGCTGCAGCGAGGAAAAGAAAGTCCCGTGCAAATGAGAACCCAGATCAAACGGCAGTCAGACGAGCTTCCAATGCTGGGAATATACAAAGACTTATGGACTCTAAAATTCCTAAACAAGCCGAAGGCCCAATCAAGAGCTCTCCTATAGGGAGGCTTTTAAGCTAGTTATTATTAATAATAACTAGCTTAAAAGCCTCCCTATAGAAAAAAACTATTAGCGTAACTCTTCCAATATATTTCAACGCTTAAAGAAGAACGAGTCTTGAGAAAAAAAAATAAAGAAAAGACATTGTTTGACAATGTTCAACAATATTTCGATAGATATATGCAAGTATAAAAATCTTCAAAAAATTATTATAATGTCTTGTATAAACGTCCCCTGTGTTTACCAGTAGAAGGGTTTTTCTTAAAACAAGCGTCGTTTGTACAAAAACTTATAATTTTTAAAGGCTAAATATGAATGCAATACTTAAATGCAGAGATCAGTTTTGCATACTTCTGTAATATGCCTCACAAAAAGAAATCTCTGCCAACAAAGGACCACATTGCAATAAAAAAAAAGCCAAGGCTGCAGCGAGGAAAAGAAAGTCCCGTGCCAATGAAAACCCAGATCAAATAGCTGTTAGGAGAGCTTCCAATGCTAAGAATATGCAAAGTCTTAGGGACTCTCAAACTCCTGAAAAAGCCGAAGAACCAATCAAGAGTCCTCTGCAGATGCTAGCTGAAATGCCACCCGATATGGCCACTTTTAAGCCAGTATACAATATTTATGCAAAATTTCATTACAAAAAATTAATTTTTTTTTATAAAAAGCCCTTGTACTTAAAGATCAAGGACACTTCAGTGTGATGTAATGGTTAGTAGGCCTATCTCGCTAGACCAATTACTTAGAAAGTGATTTAAGGCACTTCCACATCGTGTAATGTTAGCAAGCTTGTCACTGGAGTAAGGAAAAGGAACAGGATTCAGAAAGAAAGAAAATTGTGACTGAGGTTGTATTTAAACTTTTGAAGGTTGTAGGCGGCAGGTAAACAAGAAATCAGAAGAAGGGTCCACTGGGGAGAAGTGCGAGAAAGGAAACCGCCAGAATAGAACTGATGGTCGTGGTTGTATCTATCTAGTTCAACAGTAACACGGTGACACCAAGTTGCCAATCTCATAGCACGCTTAAATTCATGCAGTCGAATCACTGAAGAAAAAAAGAAAAGTAAAAACTCACCAGAACAGTTGCCATGACAATATTTGTAAAAAAAGACAGAATACTGAGTCACGTTGTTGAGAAAGTGACTGAATTTGAGATGCCAGGTCAGGATTGATTACATTGCAGACCCTTCTTTGAATTTTATCAATAACCTCAAGATATATAACAGAAGCACCAGACCAGATATGTCAGCAATATTCAATGCACGCATGAATGGTAGATTTATAAATGTGAAAGATGGATTCTGATGAGAAAAACTTTGGCGTTGGGAAAGTAAAATCGTGATTCTAGGTGGGGACCAATAACATTACATTCTTTGGATTTTGTTGAGAATCTCAAGATATATAACAGGAGCACCAGACCAGATATGGAAGCAATATTCAACGCACAGACGAATGGTAGATTTATAAATGTGCAAGATGGATTCTAACGAGTACCTGGTACAACAAAGTGAACCATTTTTCGTAGCAACTGACAATATAAACTTAACAAAGATGGGATAATTAGTTTAAATTTAAATAAATATAGAACATATTTCGTTTGATTAGAGTTGAGGTACAAGTTTTGATTTAGTGAGTTCATCTTAATTTGGCACAAGGCCACGAGTATAGAGCACCCAGTGAAACTAAAACTCATTAAGAGTCAAATGGATTAAAATCAATCCCTTAAAACGAAATACCCTTACAAAAAGTATGGATCCACCTTTTCTACCCCCCAGCTATCGGTTAATTAGTAGAACTTGTATCACTAAAAGGTATTATTATCTTCCAAAAGGTATTATAATCTGAAGTCAAGATTTTCAAAGTAATACGTTCCCCTCTCACTTGAAAGAAACATTCATTTTATTCAGCACATTTGGCGCCGCCGATGTGGTTACCACTCCCCTTCATCTCACTGCTGTAGTTCATGGTGAAATTAAAGGCAGAATACTGCAATGGTTTACCATTTCTTTTTGCATCCGGGAATGTTGAGATTACCTCGTCCTTCTTCTCAGAGGTAAATTTGTTTTTGATGTCACCGTCTTCTTGCCTTTGCTTAAAGATGCAGGACCTACCTTGCAGCAAAAGGTTTAAATTCAGAGTTTTCTTCTCCTAGCCTAGTTGCTACCTGAGGCTAAAAGACCCAGTCTGTCCTGCTATTTTACCCATAGCTTGGGGGAAGAAGAGATGGATTCCTACCTTTCCCAAGGGTATTAGCACGTAAGTGAATGTAATGAACTCGACTGGAATTCGAACTCGGCTCTCCATTTCCTTAATCTGAGCAACTAACCATTATGCTACCGTGCCTTCACCTTGAAAGACTGCCGCAGTACAATATTCTCACGCTCATTTTCAGAAAATAATTAAGTCTTGCACAAGGCATATATAGTGATGCCTCGAGCGAAAATCAGGCTATTATAGGAAAACTTGACGGCTCAGACATTGTAGCCTTGTGCCAGTCTGGGTTAAGTTTCGTAAATATCTCTAACCTACCTGCGATAGCATCATGATTAACAGACAAGCTTGGCAGATCCTCGTTGGGACTCAAATATTGTAGCCTTGTACCAGACTAAGCCAAGCTTCGTAAATATCTATGAGTTATGCGCCAACATCATGGTTCAGGTTAACAGACTAGCCTCGAAGATTTTTGCTGAGAACTCAAATATTATGGCCTTGTGCCAAACTAGACTGATGTCTGCCACAAAGAGAAAATGATGATAAGCATCATCGTTTTGCAGTCTCTCATTGTAGGACTTTCGAATCTCACTGTGTCTATCTTGTACCAGACTAGGTTGTGTTTTGTAAGTGAAGCAGTATTGTACTAATCATTAGTACAATACTGCTACAATAAGTGAAGCGCTATTGTACTAATGCT